GCCTTACATGTTGTGAATGGTTTTGGCTATTTGTTTTTACGACCGGCCGCCTGCCTGACATCAACCCTCTAAATAAATATTCTTAGAAAGTACATATGATTCCGAAAAATCACATTGGTACTTGCCCGGGCCAGGATCGAACCCGCGCCCTCGGCAACGAGAGGCGGGCCCTTTAACCACTGGGCCAACACTGACTATACATATATATACATATACATATATAATATGTGTGGGTATCAAGCATAGTGGGTGCCTAGCAGATATAAATAAATTAGAACGTTCGTCTTAAATATTAGACTATATTTTGAATTCTCTTTAACAATACTATTTATAAAATCTCAAAACAATTTAAATATTCTTGTAATAAAAACAAAATTTAAAATAGGAAAAAATAAATTCAAATTGTATAATATATATTGCATATAATTTGATCTTAGATTTTCGCAAGTCTTTTTCACTTAAATGAATTTTTTTATCAAGAATAAAATAGCGTAGTACATCCGAAAAATTATGGTTTCATTTAAATACAATGCATATATTAAGATACCATATCTGATAGAAACTAATTATCAAAAACTAAAAAAGATTTAACAGAGAAATGTAATGTACTGTATATTGCTTATTTTGTTAACACTGTTAGGGAGACGTTCGTTTCTTATATATAAGTCTAAGCAATTTTAATAATTGTATATCATAATAATAGATAGCAAAGAAAAGTACGCAATATGTATAATCAAATTAATCTGTTTTTTTGTATGAAATCAGTTAAAGAATTATGATTTAATTTGGCATCGCTTTTCAATGTCATTACAATAAAATACCTTTGAATCAAGCTATAAAATAACATGTATAATAAGTCTAAGTATATGTTCGTATAAATGGGCCATTATCATGTGAATGTCACATGGGTCTAAAGTTACACCTTCGTTAAATAAATGAAAGGCAAAACCGAATAATTAATATCAAAGTATCGTTTTGTTTTTGTTTTATTGGATATTCGGAACACAATTCCCGCTCCTGTAAGCATGAAGGGGCTCATAAATAAGGTTGAAGATCTGAATATTTTATAAATTCGCCGCCATTATGGGATGGGGTATGGCTATCCGTTGCCTTACGATTGGGAAAATCTGTTCCCTGCTATTTTGTTCCTTTTTGATCCCTTTATATAAATTTTGATTCGATAATATAGTTCGCATATCGGATAAAATAGTTCTGATGTATCTTTAATATTAAATGTATGTCAATCTCTGATATCTGTTCGAAACGGCAGCTGATATGCTGTCCTAAAATAGCTCATTCCAGAAATATCACTCTGAAAATAATTTAAAGTGAAATACATTTTTACATGTTCGATTTTATACTGACGGTGAAATATAGTCCTTTTGACATTTCACCGTACTGTTTCATATAACTATTAAAAACCCTGGCGTTATTTAAATCCGTCACTACATCCGTTATCCGATGCTCTGTCCGTTGATCCGTTATCCTACACTATAAAAAATTCATGACCGGTCCCGTTACTCAGTCATGACACCTCACGAATACCGATCAAAGCTTAGGGTGTCTGTTATCTAGTTTCGGTTAGAGTTTTAGAGCGTAGCTACGAATGTTTACCTCGAACATGTCAATTTTAATTTATTTCTGACAACAAATTTGAATACAAGAGTTTGAATTCATTATTACACAAATAATATAAATTTTCCCCATTTCCCTAAATCGAAAACATCCTATTTTTCCGGTAGCAATGCGATCCCCAAATAACTTAAAATTTTGCCAGCGACGTCTAGAATTTTCATTACCAAAGGTAGGGATGAGAGATAAGATCGGAAATCTTTTGAAGGGCGTCGGATTATAAATGCAAGGCACTTTATTGGTTATCAAGAAATATTTTTGACATAACAGAATGTTCAATTACTCGTCTTTCGGCGTCTTTAGAACGTACGTTCCTCTGACACCAGTATTGATATTTTCTTTAGAATACAAAATTAATTTTGTGCTTGCTTAGATTTCGTTACAGGAAACGGGAGATTCTTAAATCTTTTTTTATTAGAATGGGGGAATCTGTTATACTTTTTGTAAAATTATGTTTAATTTCCTTAAAATTGGAAACAGGTGCTAAGCTGATGTGTTGTTTAAACTGAAATTATTCAAGTTTTACGATAAAAAGTATATAATTACGATCAGAGATTATAATTATTGTACGGCAGGAATTAAAATAATAATTGAAAAGTATTGAGAAAAGATAAAAACAAAACTTTGTATGTTGGTTTGTCATCAGCCTATGAACGCCCACTGCTGAGCATAGCCTCTTCTCACATGGAGAAGGTTTGAGCATTAATCACCACGCTTGCTCAAGACGGGTTGGTGATTTCAAACTTATAATTGTGAAACTATAAGTCCAGGTTTCCTCACGATGTTTTCCTTCACCGTATGTCAGTGGTGTCTAAATAATCTCAGAAAGTACATATGATTCCGAAAAATCACATTGGTACTTGCCAGGTTTGAACCCGCGCCCTCGGCAACGAGAGGCGGACCCTTTAACCACTAGGCCAACACTGACGTATGTTGGTTTAAAGAAATATAAAAAAAATGATTAGCTGTTAACAAGGTTTCAATGAAAAATATCTCATAGTCTACATTTTATCTTTCGATCGATTATTAATTTACTTATAAAATAAACAAATTAATTATTATAATATTTATTAACCTCGACGCAAAATTCTAATTTATTCATACTGTTATTTGAATATTCAATAAATAATTCACAATTTCTCGCCCTTTGAGTAAAATTTTTAATTAATTAGCATCCCTTTCAAGCAGTCGGCAACGCTTTGAAACTATTTATTTGTAAGTTAAAAAGGCAACTCCATTAGTAGAATGAGAGTCGGGAATGAATAGAGGTCATTCGGCAGATGTCGTGTGTCACAAAGAAGGTAGCTCGTAAAAGGAAACGGTGCAAGGGAGGCTGATTCACCCATTGTAGGAAACAACGATTATGAGACAAAAATAAGCAAAATGTGAGGTGAAAAAAGATACAAATGGAAACCTTTTGTATGAGGTGTTTGCTAATTTTGAAATAGTCGTTACATTATCAAAGCATCATTTATATAGTAAAAATGCCTGATAATTCCATGTTTTGAAATTTTTTACCAAATATTGTACTGTTGGGAGATAAAAATCCATACTGTCGTGTAGATTGTTCGTGAAACGCGACAGTTGAAGCGTGAAGGCTCGTTAGAGACGTTGAGCCCGAAGCGAGATACTAATAGCTTGGATTAATAATAAAAAACAGGAGACTTTTCCTCTTTGTTGTAGTAAACGATCTTTTAAACCTATGAAATATTACTAATTGCACTGAAAGTATATTTACGTATAGGATTAATTTTGAATTTCTTTTGAATAGTATTTATTTCAATGAGTTGAGTATCGAGAAGAAACTTAATTGATTGACACTTGGTCTTTGCAGTTTTAATTGACAGTTTATACTTTTTGAATCGATATTCAAGTAATGTAAGCTCACAATGGTCTTATCCCAACTCGGCAGAGCTCAGTCGAAAACGGATATGCGATAACGAATGCAATTTTCCAAGTCCCTGAACAGAGTTTAGGCGGGTCTATTCCGGAATCTTTTGCCTAACTACCACCTGCTAAACCAGTTTTTATCAACGATCTTATCGTATTGAAAATAAAGGCTATATTTTATGAGCACTGCTCACGTTGATGGAATATCTAGAATGGGAAATGAAAGTTTTGTAATAATTTATTCTTGTGTATTGTGACAAGGATTATTTTATTGCACGTTTCTAGATATTCATTTAATTTTGAAGTTGTATTTAAATGAAAAGCAATAAGCTTTTTTCATAGTGATAAATAATAATTAAGGTTAAATATAGGTAAAGATTTATAAGACAGTTTAAATTTAATAATACGTTACTCCCGAGGCTAGGACATTCGTGCGTTTAGTTTTTCATACATATATTCCAATGAATCAATACGTCCCTTCATTAACGTATCAATGTGGGTGGACGGCGCATTTCACAATAGAATTAATACACTAGGGATCACTATTTAGAACATAATCCCCTTTTATAGAAAAATAATTCCACAATACTTTTATGTAAATTAAATTAAGGGGTACTATTACGTCCTGTTGTTGCCAAGATTAGTACAAAGATATAAATAATAATTTTTGGTAATAAAATTCAGGGCTATAATGTTCAACCATCTGCCTTGACCATAATTGAAATATTCTTAATCATATGTATAATTTTGTGTAAAATATGTAAATGCTGATCTAAATATTTTTACAGTGGTACAGAAATAAATTGTCGAGACACGTTTCAAATATGGCCAGGAAATCGATGAGGCTTACCCTCAGAGGAAGTTTCTAACGACATAACCGCCTGCAATTGATATGCCCCCAGAGTAAGCCCATTGTAAAGAAAAGAAAATCTCGATCCGAAAATCTTGGGAGAGTTAGGACTGGAACGGGCATCAGTATTCCTTTCGCGTTGCTTCCCGGTGTCGCTCGTCTCCCCCTTGCGGTAAACTCCTTCAGTAATTTGACTTTGTTGTTATAACTCAGTTTTACTTGTTTGTCGTTGTTGCTAGATTTATTAGAGTAATCAAATGCGTCACTTAGACGATTTGCAATTAGTATGCATAGCACACGTACTAAGTAATTTAATATACGCTACAATACATCATACATCGTTGCAAGCGTGATTTAATACATCGGTTTTATTTCTTAAACACATAGACGTAGATATTATCCACATTTTCATTTCCTTCACATACTAGTGTATATTTTTCATAACACATACATATTGCTAGCCAGTTTTCGTTTAAGTAGTAATTTTTTATGTAATTGTTACTGTATTGAGGTGATAATGTCATTAAGGTGATAATGTAAAACATATCGAGATTTTCGCTTGTTTCATAGGAATAACCCAATGTGAATATAAAAAAATAAAATTGTGTATATACGTATTGCAGAATTTTCAGAACAAATTCTGTAACGAAAATTCTGTTCGTGTATCATTGAGTTGTATTGGTTCCATTAAATCTAAAGCATTGTCGTGGGCGATCCTATTGAACCTGAATGGCGAATACCACGTTGGCTTCATCAAATTGCATTGAACGGCCGTTAGAGCACTCATCGACCGTAGTACCAAACGGACTGGGGATAAAAATTTGAATAGAATATACGAACGGTAGAAATGAAAAGGCCGGTGACGCCCACTCGTCTCTCTAGGCGCACTTCCGACCACTCGGACCTCAGTCACAATAGCCCCAACTCGATCTGATATTGAAATTGCAGTTGAAGTAATGATCATATCCTCGAATTTAGGATGAATTATTGACAAGAAATCCTTATATTTATAAAATTCAGATAGCTTGAGGTTTAAATTCCAAACTACATTTCATAATTTAATTAACGTGATATGAAAGTGGTATCCGCCAATCTCTAAGGATTTTTTCTTTTCATTCCTGTGAAAGAACATTGTTTCTTCTTTAATATCGTTAATACAATTTCATTTTGTAAGGCGAGGATAAAAATAGGCGACCATGCAAACTCCTACCCATTACGTGACTACACTTTCAAGTAGCTTGTTTGTATTGACTTTCGTAACTCAGAAGATTGTCTTGAAAGTACAGTCAAATACTTTTACCGCGTATCTAAAATATATTTCACAGCTTTCATAGTTAGGGAGGGCATGTTATCCCTTCAATTTTGACCCTCTACGAGATCATTAATGATGGCATCCCTTATTCGGAATAATGTAGGTTACTGTGCAAACAGAACTCTGGGGTGATCGGAATTCGGATTTCGCTTTGGAATTATGACATGTCATTAAAACACCACGGGAGCTCAGAGTCCATGTGCCACATATTTTTAAATTCAAAAACATTATGTTACTTATACAAAATTTGTTAAGGAACAAGTTTTACTAATGAATGCAGTTTTAAAATATTACATAAGAAAATTCCACTAGATATTAATACCATTTGAGTTCCCATCAAAAATTTCAAGAACATAACAAACAAAAGTACATCAATCCGCTTGGGGCAAACGAAACAAATATAAATAACGTATTTAATTTACAGCCTTAAATAAAAAAAAAAACTATTGGCTATAAACTTTTAAAGACATTGTTTACAAAAGATTATACTTTACCCTTTCTTGTACAATAAATAACATGAACTTGTGTACTTAGAGCAGGCGCATGTCTTAACCATTAGAAACCCCATTCAATAGATGCAAGCACAAATCATTGCCCTTATAGGATATGAATTTTAGGAGGAAAAAATAATGCGATAAAATTTCAACCATATCACATAAGCTGTAGGTTCATTTTAAGAAACATGAATTTTTGAGCCGTGATTTACAAAAACAAGCTTTATGGGGAGCACGTAGAGTATAAATATTAAAATATATAATAAGGGTTAGATAACATGCTGACCTACATCTCTGGAGAGAGACTAAGTTGCATTAGTTGCATCCACAGGGAATAATATTTATAGGGCACATTATGCACATGACATTTTTATGTTTTCGGCATTGCGTTGACACACAGCGCATCGTTATACGGTTTCCTTTTCATTTGGATATTGTTATTGCTCTTTAGAAGCATAGAATATTGGAAACAAAAATTACAAAATGGCGGTTGGAAAAATTTCAGAGATGAGTTTTATGTATAATTCATTGAGTCACTAACTTTTGTTTTTGAATATTTTCAGTATATTTCTGAAATAAGATATTTTTCTTGGGATGCGTATCTGTTAGTAAAATTACTAAATACGTATTAAACAAACACAAAAGTGATAATCAAGTCTTCTAAATTGTAACTCCTATGAAAATTTTGAAGGCTAAATGTAAATACCATCACAAATATATTAAGTGTTTTAAATCTCTGCCATCAAAAACACAGCTGACTGTCTGACTGTCTATTGTCTTCTAAATTACTGTTTGTATTACACTGTTTTATTTGCACATGCAAATCAGAATTTGTTTTCATTCTGCAATGAGATGACGGTAAGACAAAGGCATGAAACTGAGGGTAGACATTTAACACGGAGAGTTTGATAAATTTGCATAAACTATTAAGAATAAGCAGCTGAGCTCTATAAATATTTCAAATGCTTAGCCGAAACTAGGATTCTATTTAAGTATACACGACGAATTTGACGCAGTATGGTTTTTATTAAATGGTTTAAAAATAATTCACCGTGGGGTCTTGTGGCTATGAAATATTTCGAAAGCGAATATTGTATACAAGCAATATAAAGGCTTTCATCGTTTTTTAACTCAATATCCATGCTTTGTCCTACAAAGTGGTAAAATCCTTTTAGCTTTTCATAAAAACAGTGGCTATTGGTGCTGGGCGATGGGCGAAAATTGGTAAAATCAATAAATATTGCGTCCCCTCTAATGCAATGATGGATTGTGCGGCACTTATCTCCTGGCGACATCGCCGGTCGTGTACGGGGTTGTTTTTATTTTACTAGTCCTTTTGTTAACATGGGTTTTACCGATTTTATTTCAACTGCATTATCTGCATTCACTATCCGAATTCGAATGCAGACCATCATATCTGTCTAGCACAATATGATCAATATGATAAGTGCATATTCTAGTCTGCTTCTTCCTAACAAGTCTCTCATTGGCCTTTGTTAAGAAAATTGATAAAACAATTTTTCAAGCAAGAAGATTTTACCTTATATTCATCCCCAGCTTCAACTTTTGGCGTAACATATTAAATAACTTTAAGTCTGTTTTAGCATTTATACAAGTTTTTCAATAGACTTAAGGACATTGGCTCAAGTCCAACGCAATGTTTCTTTGCCGGAAATCACATTCACGCATTTGCTTTCGTGTCTAGGTGTCATATGAAGGGTCGCCCTTGTTAGAAACTTTAGCAAAACGACGAAACCTAACAGATACAATTCTAATTTATTTCAAGTATACACGCAGTCTTGACAGTTTTAAGCGTTGTTTATAGACAGCAGTTAGGTTGAAATATATTTACATGCATTTATTACACTCGTAAATATATGTTACAATTTTAAATCAAATTTTTATATTGCTACGAAACATTTTAAATAGAAAATATCGCGATGCTCTTATCAACTTCTAACTACATTTTTAAGCCATTTAAGAAGAATAGACTAATAATAAATAAAATGTTTAGACATTCTAAACATTGAATTCAAGTTCAAAACTTTTAAGTACCCTAAGCTATGAAGAAAATTCATTGAGTAAGGGGTCTGAGTAATGTTTAGAATTTTTTAAAACGCAATTTTAACTTAATTTGTAAGCCAAGGCTTTAAGGAAGTTTGAAAACTTTAATGTCGTCAAGTTCCTGAGTAATTGAGTCTGTACTCGACAATGCCCCGGTAATCTGCGACGAGCCATTTATTGTTATGTCACAAAGTTCAAAAGTTGCTCTCGAGTTTCAAATTGTGGCAATTTCGTGTATTCAAGAAGATAGTGTCCAGGGAGTATTCTAGGGCCTCCGGAAGGTTTCAGGCAACGGTTAGTGCACAATATTTAATTCATATAACATTTTCGTGCAATCCATTTACTCCTATAGAAAGCTGGTAGTTCTAAATATCTTATTAGTTAGTCTGATTAAAGTCAAGATATCTTTTATAATAATCAGTAAATACTTTGAAATAAAATCCTTAATATTAGAAATACAGATATCTTTCTCAATTTTTATGTTGAAATCCTTGTAAAAATTTGAAGCAACTAAAGAAATTAAATAACACCCAATAATAAATTACGTCAATAAACCACTGAAAGCACTTCAGGAAAACAAAGACATATTCTTTCCACTCTTTTAGCAGCGAACAAACTATTTAAGTCTGTAAGAAGGGGAATTTCTAATAAAGGATTTCCACAAAAGAATGTCTATTCAAAAACCCGTAATTCTTGCATTCTTTCTGATTTTATGTAGAGTAAAGTGCTTAATAACCATAGTAATACCAGGATCGCTAAGATAATCCCCGGACCCCTTCGATATTAACCCGTCGAAACTAACGACTCCACTATCGCTCATGGGCACATGCGTTTGACAGAACTGTTATTACATCATTAATAAAATTACAAAACTCCAGCGTCCATGTGCCGTCGTCCGCCATAGTAACTTTACAGCCCATTCGAAAAGGGTTGTCCTTAATTAAATTTGGGCAATCGTCATAGTTTATAAGGATGTTACTGGTGACAACGAAACGAGAGTGAGAATTGAGTGAATTAAGCTGAATCACGTTTTTCATTGCTTTATCACGTGCTGGCAGTGTGGCGTTATATCGTTGTTATTTTATTATTCAAGAATGGAATTATTATAATGTCAAAAGTTACCTGACGATAAATTTCAGATATTACCTAAAACAAGAGGTAAGGGTGCCACTCAGAATAAATAACTATATTATGCTAAAGCTAAATTAAGAATATTTTTAGATATTACAAAATCTTTCTAATATGTTTTCAAAGTTCATATATACATATATATATTTTATATATACATAATTTAATAAATTACCGTTTGTTTTCTTTTATAAACACATAATTAAGCGTTACCTATTTATAATTTTGAGTTATGGAGTGAAAGTTGTGCGTAAAAATATGAGACCGTAGATGTTAAAAGGATGGGTCTTCACAAGGGTGAAAGTGATCACGTGCACACGTCAACATAGGCGTGTCTGTAAGAAAAACAAAGAGTTTGATTTTACGGTAAAGTTTAATAAAATACACGAGAAGAAAACATGTTCATTAAAAAATATATCGTTTTATTTCTTGTTGACTTTCAAGCATTCTCAAAGTACGAATACCAATTATAAAATAAAACTTTAACAGTTTCAAAGCGTAATGCTATTAAAAAAGTAAAGAATATTACAAGAGATCCGATGAAAAGCCTACTAGGGATACGATATTAAAAGGCTTAGAAGTGTTGGGCCCGAAAAGCCTCTGAACATCTCTGTACCTCGCTCACTTAAGCACAGTATTAAGGGCACTTTCGGTTTAAGGGCCACCGTATATTATCCTGGCCTTTTCCCTACATGAGAAGGAATTTTATATGCTTTTTATGTTTTGCTAATTAGACTCGGTGGCGTTAAATTGTAAGTAGATAATTACAGATTCTTATTCAGCAAAAGTTCACACACGAGTGGTGCATTTGAAACATGAAATGTGTGCGGTTATGCGAAATGTTAGGTTTTATGTTTTTTTTTATAATACCTGAAGGTATGACTATGTAATATTTGCAAAAAATTCACCATTTAATTTAATATTAAAACATTCCAAATGTTTTGTCAATGAAATCATAATAAACAA